GCTATATAAAGGCTCCTCCACTCTTGTGAAAGGGACAGAGAAAAAAAGACCCGGAGAGGGGAGAAGAGAAATTCTAAACAAGTACTTTGTTTCACTCAAATACACATTTTATTGAAAGGTGTATCCTCCAGCTAAAGGTTGTGTTGGACCTCCTTGGGCCCGAAAACCCAAAAACCATCAGGGTGACTCAGTGTAATTGTTTATTGTTCACAAATCAGCCGGGGAGGGGGGAGGGGTCCTCAAGGGTTAGGGTTGCGAATTGGGAACTAGAAAACACTCCGTCTACCATTGAATGTACGCCATGCATACGTGTTAACACTCGTGCACACAATTTCATTATTATACGATGGGGAGCCTAAATTCTTCCACAGTTTTTTATCTAAGAGGTGTGTTTATGTGAATGCATATATATATATATATATATATATATATATATATATATATATTGGTTCCTGTGAGAACAGGTCTTCCCGTGCGGTCAGTGCGGCATACACCATTAGGTATGCATAAATGCACCATACAGTGTTCGAGAATACACCAGAATGAAATGTCAAAAAATGCACCACAAAAAAAAAAAAAATACATCACACATAATGGTGTATCTTTGAACAATGTGTGGTGCATTTATGCATACCTAATGGTGTATGCCGCACTGATCGCACGGGAAGACCTGTTCTCACAGGAACATGACCATATATATATATATATATATATATATATATATATATATATATATATATATATCAAAGTATCAAACCACTAAATTTATTTTCCTAATTTAATAAATAGACTAACAATAATTGTTTCTAGAGACCCATTCATTGTTACTTGTTATCTATAATGATATTATATTATAGGATTTAATTTAATACGTTAGTTCAAACATAGCTTTCTTGGCCGATTTCGTGAAAATCTCGAAATAGAATACGTTCATTAATAGCAATAAAATATGTTAAACATAATAAATTAGTATGGTCGCTTTCATCAACCAATAATCCATAAATATAGCGAAACGATGTCAAAGTATCTATAAGCTCTCTGTATTATAATGTTTGTTTTGTTCAATTTAGTGTTTCTATCTTAATTTTAATTTGTTTAATTTAACCCTTGTACTTTAAAAAGTGATACAATTAAGAATAATAGCTGATGTAGCGCTGACATTATTTCTGCCATGTCATCATACTTATATGCCAACTCATATATTTAAAATAATTAATTTTAAATATTTATAAAATAATATGAGATTGCATGTAAGTATGATGACATGTCAGAGTTGATGTCAGCACCACAGAAGTTATTGTCTTTAATTGTTTCACTTTTTAAAATATATGAACTAAATTGAACAACATTAAAGTAACACGCTAAATTGAACAAAATAATATAGTACAAGGACCTTATAAGTATTTTGATCGCGAAACGATCATATGAGAATTCGCTTTGAAAAGAAAATTGATCGATAACCAAACTTAGCTTTTTATTTAAACTAGTATGATACCCGTGCGATGCACGAGATGAATATTGTTCATATTATTGTGTAATTGTGAAGTTTTTTAGAGATGATGTAATATATAAAAAGTTGAAACAGAAATATAAAATGGAATATAGAAATAATAAAGAAATTACTTTAACATACAATATAGAAAAATATGAGTGACAAAATTACAAATTATTGAAAACTTCGTGGTATACCACGTTGGTTGTTGATGTAATAGAGGAACTTGAGTTAATGGCAATCAATATTTTAAGACCATCTGAGTTGTTAACTCGAGAAGCAGCCACGTACAACTGACCATGCACAAAAACTGGTTTTTTAAGTAACAATCCTACGTGTGACAATGTTTGACCTTGGCTTTTGTTAATAGTCATTGCATATGATAATATCAATGGGAATTGTCTTCGTTGAAACTTGAATGGCAACCTGGTATCAGATGGTGACATTGGCATTCTGAGGATCAACACTTTTGTTCAATTGTTAGCATCATCCATTAACTCAGCTTCAATTACACGGTCTGCTAACTTGGTGATTACCAACCGCGTACCATTACACAATCCAACTGAATGATCAACATTTCTTAACAACATGACTGGTGAGCCAATTTTTAAAGTTAATGAATGGTTTGGTACACCTGAAGCTCTAATGTCGTTAAAAAATTCAAGTGTGTACATCACCCAGTATTCCAACATCTGCATCGGCTTTGCACACTGTGTCACAACTAAAATATGTTCTACTTTCAGCCGTATGCAACTCACTCATATGTTGTACATTTTTGCACGACAAAACTGAATGAGTAAAACAACTGGATTAGGGTTGTCATAGTTGACATGCTGTAATAGTTGATCAACATATTGCTCCCAAAATGTGCAAGGTAAACGTCTCTCTCTGAAAAGATAAAAAAAAAAAAAAAAAAAAAAAAAAAAAAAAAAAGATTGTTATAAGCCGTACACACATTAGGAAACACATATAATCCATGATTAAGTGTAAAGTTGATTAATATAACATGACTTACTCATGATCCTGAAGAACAAAGTGGATGAACTTGGTCTCCCATCCATTAATTATGGTTGTACATGGAAATTCAATCGAGACAACAGAACCAACCAAATCTATAGAGATTTATCATCATAACAATAACTATTATATTAGATTATATATATATATATATATATATATATATATATATATATATATATATATATATATATATATATATATATATATATTATACTTGAAACGATAAACGAAATGAGGACCGTAAATAAGTATTACCAAATAGTTCGGAAGCATTAATTTGGGTAGGACCAAGTTGATCGAAAGCTTTCAACATGTATGTCATGTTTGAAAAGTCGTTGTTGTTATACTGAAAGACTTTTGTAGAATGCATGAACATGATCTTGTATTTGTGGTGCGTAGTTTTGTATCTCATGTCATTTGTTGCAACGATAAAATTTTTAATGGAGTACAAATGACCCTCAAAAAAGAGTTTTTTTAATTCATCAACTTGAGCCTTTTTTATTGTTGCATGTATACGTGTACCCTAAATGAGCAAAACGTAAAAATTTAATGGAAATCTATATTATAATAGAATATGAAATACATGAATATGTGTTATATAACAAACATATTAGCATGTGAATTATAAAACTAAAATTAAGAAAAATATATATTGGTATTGAATATATTATGAAATAATATATATATATATATATATATATATATATATATATATATATATATATATATGTGTGTGTGTGTGTGTGTGTGTGTGTGTGTGTGTGTGTGTGTGTGTGTGTGTGTGTGTGTGTGTGTACACGAAAAGATAATCTATATATATCTATACTAAAAGTGATAAATATACCTCAGAATCATGAAACACACACTCCAAAGTATGAGAATTGTAGGTGTTATTGTTGAATGTTGACTCGTACATTCAGATTAGACGAACTTGTATCGCCTAATTCGTGGAGGTAGCGGTGATTTGGTTAAGTAGATTGAAGGTGGGAGCCATATTGAAAAGTTGGAAAGTAGCGTATGAAAAATACAGGAAGAGGATTGAAAATGAATGAGAAGCAAGACCAATGAGGTATTTATAACTATGAATTTGTGCAAATGAATTACAAATGAATAATTTAATTTAATTATTTAATTATGAAATACTAAATACTAATACTAATAGCTATTGCATGATTCCCGTGCGTAGTAACAGATGAATAATAATTCCCATGCATACTAAATACCATGAATTACACGTGCATAGTAATTATAGTAATAATAATTCGTTAAGGCTAATAGGATGCATGATTTCGCGTTTCTGTATGTGAATAATTAGTTTTGTAAGGCTAATTCGTTATTATAGTATAATTATAGTATAGTATTATATTATTATTATTATTATTATTAGTATTATTATTATTATTATTATTATTATTATTATTCTTATTATAAAAAATAGTAATAGTAATTATAGTAATAATAATTGGCTAATAGGATGATTACGCGTTTCTGTGTTGTTATTAAGGCTGATTTTACGTTTTGTATTAAGGATTGATTTAATTAAGGTTGATTTAATTTAAATAATTTAATTAAGGATGATTGAATTTAATTTAGGATGATTTAATTTAATTAAGGATGATTATTTGTAATAGTAAATATATAGGCTGATTTAATTTTAATGATTTAATTTAATTAAGGATGATCTAATTTTATTAAAAATGCTTATTTGTAATACTAAATATATAGGCTAATTTAATTTAAATAATTTAATTAATGATGCTTTAATTTAATTAAGGATGATCATTTGTAATACTAAATATATATAGGGTGATTTAATTTTAAATAATTTAATTTAATTAAAATACTATACTATAATAACGAATTATAATAATAATAATAATAATAATAATAATAATAATAATAATAATAATAATAATAATAATAATAATAATAACCAATATTATATTCTTCTTTTACTCAACATGTTAAATTACATGAATTTATTTATAAATTGGCTAATTCGTTATTATAGTATAGTATTATAGTATTATATTATTATTATTATTATTATTATTATTATTATTATTATTATTATTATTATTATTATTATAAATAATAATTATAGTAATAATATCCCGTTAAGGCTAATAGGATGCATGATTCATCTATTTATAAATTAATATGAATACAATAAATGTTTTCACATTTGGAGGGAATTTTTTTAGGAATTACATGAATCTATTTATAAATTAATATGAATACAATAAATGTTTTCACATTTGGAGGGAAATTTTTTTAGGAATTACATGAATCTATTTATAAATTAATATGAATACAATAAATGTTTTCACATTTGGAGGGAAAATTTTTGAGACAATTATTTTGCTTTAATATATATAAAGATAGAGATAGAGATAGAGAGTGTTTTATTCTTTTCCCATGTATTAGAGACATGGAACATGCTTTTAATGTGAAGGTGCCTAACTGCCTATATATAGGCAATATAGCATTGGTTTTTGTTCGAAAACGCAACCAATTAAGTATCCAAGGTAGCTTCATATCATGGAGAGAAATATATCACCAAAACTTGGGAGTTCTTTGCCGGTACCTTGTGTTCTAGAATTGGCCAAAGAATCGCCTGAAATCATCATCCCACCACGCTACGTTCGTGAAGATCTGGAGCCTCCGGCACCGGCGGTGAATGAAATTCCAGTGATCAACATGGCTAACTTGCTTAAAGGAGATAACGAGGAGCTGAAGAAGATGGATGTTGCAAGCAAAGAATGGGGTTTTTTTCAGGTATTTGTTGATTATTTACTCTCTTGTAATTTCAGTATTAATTATATCTACCACTTCTCAACATGAAATTTATTAGGACTCTTTATTTTATTAGTCCTTAAAATTATTTCTCTCTCATCGTATTATTGCAAATCTATTTTTTACTAATTTTGTCGTGACTAGGACTAATCCATGAGAAAGGTTAAATTTAAACTTTACTCAAAAGTGTAATTAGACTCCCAAACTTTAAAAAAGTGCAATTAAGCACTTGGATATTCATTTTTGTGGGTCGTCTAAATTCAGTAACTGGTTATTCACTTGGAATAACCGGTCATTTAAGATTCCGACGATATTCCGACAAATAAAAATTTCAGTGACCATAATTTTTTTTTTTTTTAAATCTGATGGCCTCCTCAACTGGAGAAGACAACTGGTCAGTCGTCTTCTCTGGTGGAGAAGGCGACCATATCTGGTCCTTCTCCAATGGAGAAGACGACCAGCCAGTCATCTTATCCAATCGTCTTCTCTGGCGGAAAAGGTCATTGGAAATTGCTTCATTTTTTTTTTTTTTTTTGTTTTTAAAGGTTGTGAACAGTGGCCAACATCAATAATTTTACCGGTAACAAAAATTGGATTTATTTGACTCATTTTGATAAGTTTGAGTGTTTAATTACACTTTTTTTTAAAGTTCAAGAGTCTAATTGCACTTTTGAGTAAAGTTGATCATTTCCCAATCCATCTAGCTACTCCTATAAATATATCCCATCCTGGAATTTAGAAATATGATTGATGAAGACTTAGTCAAGATTACTAAGAATACAAACTTGTAATTACAAGGTTTCGAGAGCTATAGGTAACCTAGCTAGGTTGGTTTACATCATTGTGTTCCATTGCTGACTAGGGTTACAAAGCCGGATTTGAATTTACTCGATGTGCACCCTCACGTAGCCTTCTATGCGGGTTTCCCTCGTCTCCCCATAAGACGGGATTTACCTAATGTATGTTGGGGAAAATTCGGATAGAGTATGTCGTAGACCTGGGGCTACTGTTTTTTATAGGCTGAGAATGGATGAATCCTGAAGGGATCGGTGACGTGTGCAAGACACTACCTTAAAAGCAAAAATTTCCCGGAGACGGTTGTAGTCTTACCGGTTGCTTTCGACCAGTTAACACCGAAGCTCAGGATTGCAGAAGAGAAGAAGAGAATTTGATGAGTGAATAGAACTGAGGAGAAGCAGGGTATTTATAGTATTGGAAATACCCGCCCCTCCCCTCTCAGCCATTCATGCTCCACGATTTTAGGAAGAGTTGTGGTGAAAATGCCCACAAGAATAGGAAGACTTGTTCCACCACAACTTAATGTGTGGATGGTAGATTTCTACATGAAATCTACCTCTAAAAAGGAAAAAACTCGGAATTAAAATAAAGTCCGAGTAAAACGCTGACCCCACCGCGCGAACCGAGCCGGGCGGGCAGCGGCGGCGCGCGTGTGGAGTTCCCTTTCCTTCTCTCTCTACAATAGTTTAAGCCTTCCAAATGGGTTGGTATTAAAAAGGTGAGAATTAGTCCCTTATCCTTCCAATGTGGGACAAGAGTGTCTTCCTTCTACACACTTTAAACCACCATCTTGAATGTAATCTCCAACAATGTACACCCTCAGATGTAATTGTTGTATCCATTGTAACCCCAAAAAATATGATTGAACTAATATAAAATTCTTTACAAATTATTGTTCTTATCAAATTAGTGTAAAAATTTGTCCTACTATACCTGCAGCTAATAAACCACGGAGTGAGTTCTTCATTGGTTGAAAAGGTGAAAGCTGACACAAAAGATTTCTTCCATCTCCCCATGGAAGAGAAGAAGAAGCTTTGGCAAGAGCCCGGAGATCTTCAAGGCTTTGGACATGCTTTTGTAATTTCTGAGGAGCAAAAACTTGACTGGTCTGATATGTTTTATATTATGACTCTCCCAACTTATTTAAGGAAATCAGATTTATTCCCAAATCTCCCTTTGCCGTTCAGGTCTGACATCTTCTCTCTCACCTTCATTTCTTGAGTCTTTGACTGGGCTACACTGCTAAACCATATTGATACAATTTTTTGGTTATTGCATGCAGAGAAACAGTAGAAATGTATGCAGAGGAATTGAGAAATTTGGCCATGAAAATCATTGAATATTTAGCAAAAGCTCTGGGAATTGAGCTGGAACATGTACGAGGATTATTCAAGGAAGGGATGCAGGCTATGCGGATGAATCACTATCCTCGTTGTCCCCAACCAAACAAAGTCATAGGACTTTGTCCTCACTCCGATGCTGTCGGGCTTACAATCCTGCTCCAACTCAATGATAAGGAAGGTCTCCAGATCAGGAAACATGACATGTGGATTCCTGTTAAACCTCTCCCAGAAGCCTTTGTCGTCAACATTGGTGATATTTTAGAGGTAATTTTGGCCATGAAATTAAAATTAAGAAAAATTGTAATATATGCTCCTCTTATAAGTCAATTATAAATGACAACCATCAATTTTAAGTGGTATAAATATTGCATTAGAATTGCTTTGAACGTGTGTTAGGTGTGTGTTATATTATCCATCCCTGTTCAAAATTCAGGGACAATATTTATAACCGGGATGGACAATATATACACACCTAACAAATGTTCAGACAATCCAAGTCCGTGGTAACATTTATACACGTTAGAATTGAGGGATGACGTTTATAATTGACATATTAGAAACGGACATAAATAATAAAAAAAAGCATAAATAATTACAATTTTTCCTTAAAATTACTTTCAAGAATACTGAAAAGGGAAATTATAATTTATGCCCCTTACAAATATGTCAGTTATCAATATCACCCTTGAATTATTAGTGGTGTAAATGTTGCCCCCCGATTTTCAAAATGTGACATATATTGCTCCTCCCCTACTACCCTAGTAGGTGGAAGGAGAAACATTATTGTTGACAGAAGGAGAACAAACGAAGAAAAAAAATGGAGGGAAAAAAACGTGGTCTTCGAACACGGAAAACAGCGGGTAACCAGATTTACACCACTAATAATTCAGGAAAGAGATAATATATGTCACGTTTTGAAAATTGATGAGCAACATTTAAACCACTAATAATTTAGGGGTGACATTGATAATTGACATATATTTGTGAGGAGCATATATTACAAATTTTCCTAATGAAAATTACTGTCAGGTGTATAATTGTTTTTTTTTTTTTTTGTGCATTTATTTGTAGATATTGAGTAATGGAATTTACCGCAGCATTGAGCATCGAGCAGTAGTAAACTCGGAAGAGGAAAGGCTATCCATCGCAACGTTTTTTAATCCCAGACTTGACGCAGAATTGGGTCCTGCCCCCACATTGATCACACCACAGATTCCAGCAAAGTTCAGAACAGTGGGAGTTGAAGATTATTTCAAAGGTTTATTTGCTCGAAAGCTAGATGGTAAAGCTTACATTGACGTTATGAGGATCCAAATGGAAGATGGTCCTCACAGTTAATTAATGGAGTGATGCAAAGTAAAAAATAATCTCTTAAAGGCAATAAAGACGAGATGCTGCACTTGACTAGCTACGTATACATATATGTACAAGATGATTTCCGTGATTAAATTGTATTAGTAAAAATGTATTAATAATGTTGATCAATAAATTAAAAAGTATTATATTTTTATTAAAAAATATTACATATAACAATCATGGTTTTAGTCATTTTACATATATACACACCAACTATAAATTTAAAGGTGATTTAAAGTAACTGATCAAAAGCTTTGAAGCAAATATTAATTTTGGTCTCACGAGTATAAGCAAATTGACAGTTTTAGTCCACATGTTTAATTATAATCAATTTTCATCTAGGACTATTATTTTCATGTCAAAATTGATCACGCCAATCACCCATCTAGTTAAAACATGCCAGAATGTGTAATTTGTCCATTCATATTGAGGGTCTTTAATTTCCTGACCGTGTCTGACCTACCTAGCGTACTTAATTAACCGACCTGCTCAGTTGAGGCCCCCGAGATGAACATAGTTAATAACGTCCAAACCGAGCATGATAGCTATTGGTCAGTCAGATATTCCGCTACATGTGGACATCCCTCCTTAGCCTCCGAGACCATTGAGTCCATGCAGGACACGTGTTGTACATGTCAACTTCTGGACATGTGTACCCTCCAAACTCCTATAAATACCATTTCCAACTCTTGTAGATGGGAATTTTTTCCCACCCTCTCTCTATAGTACTTACATGCCCGGGAACCTCTGACCATTGGTCTTAACCACCCGAGCTACTATGCCCTAACTCTTCTATAATTTGTATTCAAACACGTGTACCCGAGAGTATTTACACTATCACACCTCTATTAATATTCCCGACCTCATGTAGTCGGACCTTTATTTAACTTCCGAACCATATTATTTCACCTATAATAGAGTTCCTAGGCACATTTACCTGACCCAAAACAATTTACTCTATGAATATATATATATATATATATATATATATATATATATATATATATATATATATATATATATATATATATATATATATATTAAATGGATGAGTGAAATCTAAAAGAAAGAAAAACATTATTATTGTTGTTACGAAAACAGAAAGAAAAAGGGGCAACACAGATGAACGACGAGAGATTGAAGAGATATATAAATGTTAAGGATGGTAAAGGTAAAATGATCATTTTATAATTAAGTCCAATTTGCTAATAAAAAATGCTACTGCTCTCAGCTTTTAAGATTTTGACTTCTTGTCCTAATAAACTAATGCAATATGTCATTTTACCAAAGACTTAAATAGCGTTATTTCCAGTCAAATCAGCCAAACTTAATCAAATCAAACAAAATTGACTTATCAAGTCTATTACTCCCTCTGTCTCATTTTATATGTTCTACTTATTATTTATTGATCAAATCAAGTCTTTCTTCTTAGTTTATTTTTTTTAGTGTTCTTTAATTATTTTTAAATCTAATTTTTTTGTGTTTAATAGCAGTTTTAGTGTAGTTTCTAAATATATATACATTTTATAAACTAATACTAAATTTAATATTATGAAAAATGGGATTAAAAATAACTTCAGTCAAACCTCGTTAATCAAACTAAACACATAAAATAGGATGAAGGAATTACAATTTACAAAACAAGCCTTTGTCTTAATCATATTCTTATTCCTTCTATTTTCATAGGACGAATTGTCACATCATTATTTTGTCAAACAAAAAATGTCACATCATTTGAATTAAGTTTTGATACGACACTCAAGATATATATGAGATTGGTGGCAGTCAAATCGTGCATGATAAACATGGTAGTTGCTTTTGTCTTCACACACTGTGTGACTGTGTCACGTCGCTTTATATGCCGGTGAGATCCAAGTGTCTTCTCTTTTTTTTTTTTTTTTTTTTTTTTTTTTTTTTTTTTTTTTTTGAATATAACGGTCTTTTTATTTTTTTTTTTATTTTTAAAATACCAAGTGTCTTTTTATATATGCGCTAGAATGCTTAAAAAGTTACTCTAATAGTTAATGAGGGATTAAGGGTAATAGGGTAGGTTCGAGTTTCATCTCAATTAAGAATGTTGGCATAATTATATTGAGCAGATATTATAACTACAGTTAAATTACGATCACAAAAAGTTAATGAGGGTTGAAAATAGAAATTTGAAACCCGTTAAAGTTGGGGTGAGTGCGGAATAAATGAGAACGGACTTGTAAACACAAAAAAAGTAAACTTTGTATATATTCACAAAATTTCGTGTACAGCGTGTGTATAATTTAATGCAGGTACAAAATCTCTGTCTAGTCCTCTGATTCTTCACTGACATTATCTATTGAAGTGCCTCCAGAATTCAAATACCGTAGCCTCCGGGATTTAAGTGGCGCGTGCCCCCGGGATTTAAGTGGCGTAGCTTCCGGGATTTAAGTGGCGTAACTTCCAACAACGAGCGTTAAGAATTTAGAAGTAATCAACCCTGCAAAGTTTCAAAACACATGCAATGGATTCAAGCTGCTTTAAGATCCTCAAATGCCTTCAAAAGACTTCAAGATCTTCGAGACAATCAATTCTGCAAAGCTCCAAAGTACCTGCAATGGATTCAAATTGCCTGCAAAATCAACAAAAATGCCTTCAAATCTTCAAGCGTTCTTCAATTCCTTTAAGCTCTCAAGCCTTCAAGTTGTCAAGTATTCTTCAATGCTTTCAAAGCCTTCACGTCTTTAAGTTCTTCAAATGCTCTCAACTTCTCAAGTCTTCAATTGCTGTTCAATGCCTTCAAGCTCTAAGCCTTCAAGTTCTTCAAGCTTTCAAGTGTGTTTTGGAATGAAAATGAAGGTCCTATTTATACTAAAAGCTTAACCAAAATTCCTCAACCAACCCCACTTTTTAGTTAACTAATTAATTAATTAGGAAAATGAACCTTACCCAAGATCAAGTCCAGGTTCATTATTGTATAATCTAATTCAAATTCAAATTAAATTATAATTATCTAATTCAAATATAATAAAATTAATATTATATTTAAATTATAATTATAATTTAAATTCAAATATGAAGTGGGCTTGGGCCAACTAATTAATTAATTCAATGGCCCAAATAAAATCTAATTGGGCTAATTAAATTAAATTAATTTCCATGATCCAATTAATCAAATCGGCCCAATCATCAATCTCAACATTAGCCCAATAACACTTTAATCGGTCCATTTATCGGGTTCAAATTTTCGGTGTCTACAAATTGCCCCCTCGAGACTTGCCGGGACATGCCGCTTAATGTGCTTGGAGTGAGAAAGTCTCGAAATTTTAACACATGGCCATTCAAATCCATGGGAGTGTCTTATAACATCATGAGCCCAAAATTATTCATTGAGCCCAAAATTAATTTAGGATGAAGCTGGTGAAGGGATATTGGGCTCATACAACATTTATTGGCCCACGTTGGATACTCCACAACCCAAAATTGAATTAGCAATGTACTATGGTCAAATCCATCAAGACCATCTCAATATTCTAAATTTACTAAGATCAACTTCTCATCTGGCAACAAATTTGAGTCCTTCAAATTCTATGCACACCAATCTCATCCGTAATCCCAGCATCACAATTGAATTCAACCACACAACCATAATTATAATACCATTAGGATTCTAATCCGACACTAACCTCCTTCCTCACAGTACACTATAAATATGGCCTAAACATACCCTCATCCACACCAATCAACGAGATAAAGATCAGGGAAGAACAACTCTGCTTCTTAATCAGGTAATTTCTCAACTTCGTACCCTTCTCTTCCTGTATACATCTTTTATTTGCAGGAACGGGAATACAACCTGGGAGCAAGCATGAATGTAGCAACGTAAAAGGTGCCAACAAGTAGAATGATCACCGGAGATTGCTGGAGCTGCCCGGTGGAATTTTTGTTTTTGTTTTTTTTTTTTTTTTGAAGCCGCCGGAGTTGATGAAGACCGCCGGACTGGCTTTTCCTCTTGTTTTTTTTTTTTTTTTTTTTTTTTTTTTAACTGTCGTAGGAGGCTCGTTGCTATGCTTCGCCGGAGAGTTTTTGTGTTTTTTTTTTTTTTTTATGAAGTCATCAAAAGGGTAGAAGTAAGGTTACCAGCCGTCAATGGCTTTGTCTTGTTCATCTTGAGGTGGAGGGAAGTTTTTAGCGATGGAGGTGTCTATGGACTGAACTTGTGGTGAATCCATCTCTGTACAAATGATTCTACAGGAAGTGAATGTCTTGGGTGGCCTTGTACTTCCAGTGTGGGGAACAATTCCAAGGAGGGAGGTATTGGCATAGTGAATAAACACAATCACACGGAGTTCGTCGTGGCAGGAGTTTTTTTGTTTTTTTAGGAAGTTGCCGGATTGTTGCCCGCCGCCGGAAGTTTTCGCAGAAGTCGCCGGAGTGTTGCCCGTCGGAAATCGCCGCTCAACTGTTGATGCTACCGCCTCGCTGGAAGCTTTTTTTTTTTTTTTTTTTTTGCAGAAGTCGCCGGAGCGTTGCCCGTCGGGAACCGCTGCTCAACTGTTGATGGTACCGCTTCACCGGAGACCACTCATTGCTGTCGATCAAGAACCATGCATGCCGACAATGGCCGCTGCCGGTGCCGATCGTCGCAAATCGCTGGTTCGGAGTCTAACTTTGTTGTTTGTTGTCGTAGGGTCGCATCGCGGATCGCCATCGCAGAGCTCTGTTTCTCTACTGTTGTTGGTGCAGGATCGTGTCTCTGAGATTTGCTTCTCCTGACTTCTATTGATGTTGCCGGAAGTGAACCTGAATCTATCTTCTCTGTTAGTTGCAGGTCGCCGTTGCTGGAAATGAATGCCTTATGTTCATCTCTGCTTCTCTACTGCTTGGAGGTCGACGCTGCTGCGATCTACTGGTAACCCTCCTCGACGATGGAACTCTACTGAAAAATTTGACGGAGCAGCTGAGCAAGGATGGCAAATGGGAACACGAACTGATAGAGGAAGAAGTGAAGGACTGCACTTTTATTCTTTAGAGGACAACATCTACTGCAAGTTAGATATGTGGCACTTTATCCTCCACACGTGTTTCTTCCTCTTATGCCCACTTTAAATCTGAAGGAGACAAGAGCATGACATGGCCATATACACACGCATGAACATGTGTACAAAACTTTTTTTGAAACCTTGTTTGTTTTTCTTTTCTTTGCAGTTTTCTTTTCTTTTACCTTCTTTCGTATTCTCCTTTCTCATTTTTTATTTCGTTTTTTCCTTTCCTTTTCTTTTAGTTTTGTTTTATGTTCGTTTTTTTCCTTTTTCTTTTGTTTCGTATTTTTTTTACTTTCTTTTGTTTCGTATTTTTTTTTATAACAACTAATATAGTATAATATAATCTTATATTATTAACAAGCTTCAAGCAGATGTTAAATAATAATAATAATGACATTAATAATAATAATAATAATAATAATAATAATAATATGTATACATGTATATGATACATTATAATATTATCACTTTACCGTCCTTAACAATTGGACCCCTGAGTACGAAAGAGAAGTCCGAAGAAATTCATGACCAACAATTGAAGCTCTTTTTACCCATGCTCAACAATAACTCGATGCCACACAAGCTGTTGTTCTTCCATTGTAGTTTTGAATTTGTATTATCGCTTCACTTTAGTTTGTTCCTTTATTGGAATGTTAAAGCATACTTCTCTTGCATTTTAATATTCCTGAACATTAAAAGGAACCATGAAAACTACTCATAAACCTTCTCCTTGAAAGATTTAAATGAGATATGAACGTAGGAAATTCTGGACAGATTCGTGACTTCATTTCCTCTCGAATTTTGATCCTTCAAAAGTCATATTCAAGTTTAGATGTCTTCAGAAAAATTGTAGCTCTGTAAGTTAGCTTTCCAACGATACCCAGATCACCTCAATCGGACTATTATAGACCAAGATATGACCAAAATACCGAACAGTGACCGATTGTTGCGTGAATGCATGCTTGACAATTATTTTCCATTCCAAGACTTGCGATGCTTCCTAGACTTGTTCTCCTCCTTCCCATGCCAATATAGAGTCACTATCTTGGACGAAAGTATAAAAATTTTGTTATGACTGAACTTAGACAATAAAATTTCTAAGCTGCCTACGTACTCCCACGAAGGAGATCAAGTCAAACGTAGTTCAAATGATTTTTTTTTTTTTTTTTAAGTAGAGCCGTTCACAGTTTAGACTCATGCGGGCCAGGAGCGTCTATGATTTGGGCCCACCCATAGACAAAGCGAGATGCATTAGCAGTTTAACCACATACTGCATTTTTTGTGGATATCATTCATCTTGTTTACTTAATTAATAGGGCCAACTTGCGCATCATTTTCATCAACCAAGTTGTACATGCCCCCCGCAACCGGGATCTCATCGTGTCAATTAATGTGGAATGAAGACGGCACCTCATCTTGAGTTGGTGTCGCTCCATAACCTGAATCAAGATCTTCTTCTTTTCCTTCTTGCACACGGGTGTATATAATGGTCTTTGGCTGGACCTTCAAGACTTTGCTACATGAAACATGGACATCAACTTCTCATCTCGTACGAGAGGGAACTATACTTCTAAGCCTTTTTGAAGACTCTATTTCAATAGAAGTGTCGGTGTGTTCTTTTAAAACTCGAGAAGCTCCGAGTCTGTCATGTATGGACTTCCTCTTAGCAGGTTTGGAATTTGACCCGAGCCTATGAAAGGCTGACCGTCGTGGTTCTACCTCGCCAATCCTATCAAAGACTGATTGCCTCTTGTGGTGTTCCTCCTCATCGGTAGACGTTATGCAATTACTTGCGGCCCTGTTTGTGAAGATTCGCACTGGTTTAGGGGGCCCATAGCCTAATCCTTTACGTTCATGCGGTCCCTGCTGATTTGACTTGCCTTTACCGCCGGCTTCTGGGATAAGCTTCCCCAACTTCTGCAGCTCCTTGGGATTGTAGCCAGAATTAGCTAGAAGTTTATAAGCATTGGGGTCAAAGCCATTAGTGCGCTTAACAGGCAACATTTCATCTATTCCATCCCGAGCATCGTTATCTTTAGTTTCTTCTCCAAGCGGTTTGGCTGGTAGAGCTTTCAATGGTTCAATTCTTGTAAGCGGAAAAACAAGTTCCTTATGGCAATGAGCTTGGTCTACGACCTGTTTACCTTTCCATTTTGGATCAGGAGGTGTGTCAACATCGCTTTGGTCAACCTCTTCTATAACTTGTTTCTTCAAGTAAAACTTTGCATCTGCAAAGTATGATTCTACTTCGATGAAGGGAGTTTCATCAGCGGCTACCTTTTCTATCACCCCGCCTTTTTCAAACATGAGGCATTGGTGCCAGGATGAGGGAACTACTCCATTCTCATGTATCCAAGGCCGGCCCAGCAACAAGTTGTAAGATGTTCTTACATCTATCACATAACATAGTGTACTTGAGTTTAGCGTTCCGACCCTGAGGTCGAGTCTTATGGTACCAAGTGCTCTTTGTCCGCCTTGATTAAATCCTTGAATCATTAAGCGGCTTTGAGAGAGCTCATCAGTGGAAATGTCAAGTTCCTTCATAGCCCGGAGTGACAGAATGTTCACAGCCGACCCTTGATCAATCAAAATCCTTTTAATCTTTTGCTCGCGGGCATAACCTTCAACAAACAACGGACGATTATGTGGTGTACTACCAAGCAATAGATCTTCATCTTTAAAAGTTATCTCGGCGGTATAAGACGCGGCTTTGCGAGTTTGGACCTCGTTGCTTCCTTCAATCAAGGGGAATGAAGATTCTCCCACTTCAACATGTTCTTCATTGGTATTCAAACAAGTTCCAAGAATGTCTGTTCTACTCAGGAGAAACCTCTTTGGCATGTATTGAGCTAGGATAACTGGTGTCCGTGGCTTGTTGGGAAGTCCTTTCTTCTTCGAGTCATGGACGGGGTCCCTTGCCGACTCCTTCTCAACCCATTGCCTTGTCATTTTCTTTAATGGTCTAATATGACTAGCAGGATCAACTTGTGATGGTTTTAAATACTGGACACCAGCATGCTTAACTCTAAATGGAAGTGTGCATTTATGTTGCTTGCCCCCATTATTCTCCTCATCTTCTATGAGTAATGGAGCAAACCTCCCACATGAAATTTGGTTTGTGCTTGCGCTAGCATCCGCAAGCTCTATCTTTCCATCACGAGCAAGCCCCATCACTTTATCCTTAAAGACGAAGCATTTTTCAATCGGGTGTCCGAGGAGACGATGATACTTGCAATAGTTGAGGCCATCCACCCTAGAAGCTTCTTCGGGGCGCTTCATCTCAGGCAACTCAATTAATTTGAGTTTCAGCAACTCGTCAAACATAGGAGAAACGTCAGAATCCAAGAATGGATAATGCTTCTCCTGCCACTCTTCAACAATTGTTTTTCTAGCTCCCCTTGATGGGTCAGGGAATGATCTTTGCTTGGGCTTCTCAGCCACTTTGGTGAAAACCCGCATTGGTCCTGTCATCACGTTCATCGTCTCTTTCTTCTCTTGCTTTGGAAAGAACTTACTCCATCTGTTGACATCTTGGTTTGTAGGTGCCTTTGATGAGCTGGGCATACTTGACATGCTTAATCCCCCATTAGCTTCAATACTCAATTCCATGTCATGAGCACGACTGGATAGTTCTTCAAATGTTCTAGGCTTGATTCCCTGCAAGATGTAAGAGAGCTCGAAGCGCATCCCTTAGATGCACATTTCAATTGCGGAGCTTTGTGATATCCTCTCTTTACAGTTAAGGCACAACTCCCTCCATCTCTCGATGTAAGCGCCCGCACGCTCACCCTTCCATTGGTGGGTAGTAGTGAGTTCCAAGAAGCTGACAGTCCTCCTTGTGCTGTAGAAGCGGGTCAAAAACTCGCGCTCCATATCATTCCAGCTATCAATGCAACCATGCTCCAGGTCGGTGTACCAATCAAAGGCAGTGCCCTTCAGAGAGCGGACGAATTGCTTGACGAGGAGGTCTCCATATGTTCCTGCATCATTACAGGTTTCAATGATGTGGGCGATGTGCTGCCTTGGGTTGCCTTTCCCATCAAACTGCTGGAACTTGGGAGGTTGATAGCCCAGCGGCATCTTCATTTCTTCAATCCTCTGAGTATAGGGCTTAGTGTAAGTGTATGAAGATTGTCCTCCCTCGAGCTTCCCTTTAATTGCTCCCATGATGTAGTCGTTCAACTGGTCTACAGGTATCATGCCCTCAGAAATTGGAATACTCTTCTCAGCGGGTGGTGGACGAGAGATTGTCTCTTCCATTCCTGGCCTACTTTGATGACGCGATGACTCGATATCAATCTCATATTCTTGGGTTTGAGGCTGCTTCTCGGAAGCTCGACTTGTTTCGCCGTTTCTTCCGCTTTCAACTTTTTCGCTGAGCTCATTGATTCTCCTTTTTGGTTATGCATGAACATAGTTATCCCCTCAAGAGCTTTGGTGATGTTTGCTAGTTGTTCCTTCACCGAAGCTGCGTTCGTATTCATAACGGGCATGACTGTGTAGCTGTGAGTCAATTCCGACGATGTTTTCTGCAGAGGTGATGATTGAGATGTAGAAGACGAGCTACCGCTGCTAGGGGTTCCTTTTGGGGGAGTCATACTCTTGCTGCTGGGAGTTCCTTTTGTGGTAGTAGAGCCCATATGACTCTTGTCGCCAATAGTTTCTCTCGTCGAAGATGAACCCTTGTCATATGCAGCTTTCCATGACTTGGTGGAGTTGCTTTCAGTCCTTCGGATGATGTTACGAACCATGTTCTGGGTCTCGTTCAGTTGCACCCCTAGGTTCCTCACTCGGCTCCGAGTCATTGCTCCTTCCACATTTTGGCTATCACCGGAATCAGCCACGGATGATGCCTTGGAGCGGGTAGCTTGAGCATAGGTCATCTTGGAGGAGGGATTTCTTTATGCCATTTGGATTCCTTCCTTGTAGAGCTCGTGAATCAATGTGAAGAGATGAGGGGCAGAGTAGTCCCACTGGGCGTGCCAAAATCTGTAAACACAAAAAAGTAAACTTTGTATATATTCACAAAATTCCGTGTACAGCGTGTGTATAATTTAATGCAAGTACAAAATCTCTGTCTAGTCCTCTGATTCTTCACTGACGTTATCTACTGAAGTGCCTCCAGGATTCAAATAGCGTAGCCTCTGGGATTTAAGTGGCGCGTGCCCCCGGGATTTAAGTGGCGCAGCTTCCGGGATCTAAGTGGCGTAACTTCCAACAACGAGCGTTAAGAATTTAGAAGTAATCAACCCTGCAAAGTTTCAAAACACATGCAATGGATTCAAGGCTTTAAGATCCTCAAATGCCTTCAAAAGACTTCAAGATCTTCGAGACAATCAATTCTGCAAAGCTCCAAAGTACCTGCAATGGATTCAAATTGCCTGCAAAATCAACAAAAATGCCTTCAAATCTTCAAGCGTTCTTCAATTCCTTTAAGCTCTCAAGCCTTCAAGTTGTCAAGTGTTTTCAATGCTTTCAAAGCCTTCACGTCTTTAAGTTCTTCAAATGCTCTCAACTTCTCAAGTCTTCAATTGCTGTTCAATGCCTTCAAGCTCTAAGCCTTCAAGTTCTTCAAGCTTTCAAGTGTGTTTTGGAATGAAAATGAAGGCCCTATTTATACTAAAAGCTTAACCAAAATTCCTCAACCAACCCCCCTTTTTAGTTAACTAATTAATTAATTAGGAAAATGAACCTTACCCAAGATCAAGTCCAGGTTCATTATTGTATAATCTAATTCAAATTCAAATTAAATTATAATTATCTAATTCAAATATAATAAAATTAATATTATATTTAAATTATAATTATAATTTAAATTCAAATATGAAGTGGGCTTGGGCCAACTAATTAAGTAATTCAATGGCCCAAATCAAATCTAATTGGGCTAATTAAATTAAATTAATTTCCATGATCCAATTAATCAAATCGGCCCAATCATCAATCTCAACATTAGCCCAATAACACTTTAATCGGTCCATTTATCGGGTTCAAATTTTCGGTGTCTACAGGACTTGGGATAAATTTACATTTAAACGTATAATATAGTACTTCAATAATATAATTGTAAAATATATTATATTAATAAATTCAAACTCAACAATAATAGCAAAAGTATAGCATTATAAAACGTTACATCGTTAGAAACGGTACGAAATATATTAATACACACAATCTAATCGTCACTTAGGTTTTCAGCATTTGAATTAACAGAATCTTCAGCTTAAGTACGTAATTGAAGGAAAAATATATATTACGAATATAAACATAAAAGAATAAAAATCAAAATATATAAGTATTTATATTTTTTTTTAAAAAAAAAAAAATTGACGATGAAAAATTTGCTTTGTTCATGTACTTAGGGAGAATTAGAGAAAGTTAGGGATAAAAAATTCATAAAAAAAAATATAAAAATCAATATAAATAAGCAATAAGAAGTAAAAATAATATTATTTCAAATTTTTAGATGAAGATTCTAAAGTTTAGGAGAGAGAAAAATTGGTAGAGTTTAGGTATGAGGAAAATATAGGATAACGAAGAAAAAAATAATTTTATTGAATTTAGATAGGTTTATAAAGTTTAAATAGGGAGAAAAAATAGAGTTTAATTAGAGAGAGAGAGAAAACATTCAAAGTTGTTAAAAATTTTTTGAAATCTTGGGGTTGATGGTTGGATTTCAACTATTTATATTTGAGAAGGAAAAGTCTACAAAAGTCTTAAAATTAAAACGTTTACAAAAGTTCATAACTTTTTGAATACTACATGACTTTTAAAGACTCTTTAAAAGTCTTAATCGAATACTACACGACTTTTAAAGACTCTTTAAAAATCTTGATTTAATACCGCCTGATTTTTAAAGACTCTCTAAAAGTTTGAATTGGATACCTCCAAACTTTTAAAGTTCATAAAAGTCTTTAAAACTCTATAAAAGGCATAATTGAATACACCCCTATAAAAGATTGTGTGGAACTGTTGCTGGGCGAACCAGCGGTCACATGGAAAATCCGACAGCCCAGCAGTCTGAATTTGCTATTACTCTTTTAAACCTGTAAAATTAGTATTATAGTTTTGTGATATAAATTAGCTTTGTATTTAGAATAGTAATAGCAAAAATTAAATGTAACTAAGCCTGATTAGGTTGGTATTGCCACCACCGGCGCCCTAAGTTTGGGATCAAATCTCGGAATAAGTGCTACGACATAGGTACTTTTGACCGATTGAAAATCGGCGTTGGGAGTAAGGTGCCTGTTCATAGGTCCTCAGACTGATTTTTTCGGTTATAGGGCCATGGGAGCAAGATGCCCATTGCGGGAGTAAGGTACCCGTTGTAGGTCCTCAGACCGATTTGCCCAGTTATAGGGCCAGGGAGCAAGGTGCCCATTGCGGGAGTAAGGTGCCTGTTGTAGGTCCTCGGACCGATTTACCCGGTTATAGGGAGTTGGGGTAAGGTACCCACTTCGGGAGAAAGGTGTCCGTTTCAAATGGTTCTCACATTGATTTGCCCGGTTATAGGGCGTTGGGAGGAAGGTGCCCATTTATGATCATTAAGATCAGTTACAACCGAAAAGTCGGGAAAAATTACAGTCTTCGGATATTGATGAAGCATTACAACCAACTAAGGAATTTCAAAGTTAAAAACAGCGCCAAACTCCATCAGTGCTCGAGCTCACTTGTTCAAAGTTGTGACCAAGCGAAGCAAAATTTTTATACACGATCATGTATGTTGGTTAGTAGTGTGCGAAGCCCGGTTAGGTTGGTATTGCCACCACCGGCACTTTAAGCCCAGGATCATATCTCATGATAATCCCTATGAAGTAGGCAATTAAGTCCGGTTAGGTCGGTATTGTCACCCCCGACACCATAAGTCTGGGAACAGATCTCGGCATTAAGCCCTACAAAGTAGGCAAGTGAGCCCGCCAGGTCGATCTTCCCACCTCGGGTAAATCCAATCTCTTGATTGGTAAATTTGATCACCAGATCAAGTTAGAAATCCGATCGGTTGATCGGTAGCTTTCAATCTCTTCATAGTATCGAGATCCGATATCTTGATCGGTAAGTTTAGACCTCCTAAATCTCCAAAGTCCTACAAGGTAGACAAATCGATCACCGTTACCATAAAGTACGGTCAGGTTGGCGTCCCGAGCACCTACACCATGAACCCTATCGGGTCACTTTCCCGAGCATATTGATAGGAATATAGGGCATCCTCCTTGGCCTATGGAGCTCGCTAGTGCATTTCCCACCATAATGCACTTCCCGTCCATAATGCACTTCCCGAGCGTGTTGCACTTGGCGACGATAGCACACCTTAGCACATTTCCCGAGCGTAATGACCTTCCCGGTCTCGTTATCATTAGACTTCCGAGTCTCCAAGCATCCCTCCACTTGGGACTCTCGGTTCGTAAACTGGGCAAATGATTTCGATTTTCAAAACCCATCGTAATTATTAATGTGGATAATCAAAACTAACCAAACGCGATCGACTAAGAACGATCTTAAAACCATGTAATCTGGGTCAGAGTTTGACCAAGTACAAGCTAGCTGCGACTGATTAGCCCAAGTAAAGGGCATTGGGTAAAGCGTTCCTGCTTGTGATCGGTAAGATCAGTAGAGGTCCCTAGACCGTGAATAAATCCAATCTCTTGATCGGTAAGACTTGATCACTAGATCTCTCTAAAAATTCAATCTCTTGATTGGTAAAACCCGATCCCTAGATTTGCAAGATTTGATCTCTTAATCGTGCTAAAATTCGATCCCTATATCGTGAGTAATCAAATCCCTTAATTGGCAAAATTAGATCTCTAGATCGCAACTAATTCGATTTCTCTGTAGTCCAAAAAATTGCACTTTAGGTTGTACTCTTTTTCTCTTACGCTAAGTTTTTTCCCATTGGATTTTTCTTAGTTTATGATTTTTAACGAGACAACCAGTGTAAATCGCGCCCCTATGCTCAACTCAGGCTCGAGGAGCTCGTCATGGACTGTGTACTCGGATATTTCAGCCCGAATCCTTCCTCGTTAGCTTGACGTCAGGACACAGACTGGGGGACTACTTGATAGGGAATATACTTCGGATACCGCCCTATACGCCCCAAGCATCTATTCGGTTTAGGGTCATGTGTATTTTAAAAATATTTTATTCTTTATGGGTATGGACCTTGCGTATATAAAGACCATTTTCAACACTCTCTTTTCCCCTCTCTACTCTCTCTCTCTACACATCATCTCTCTAAACACTCAATAAAAGAAAGATCATTTTCCATATTTTTCCTTTCATCTACTGTCAACCTATCATACATTTTTTCTTATACACATTGCATACTTTGCCTGGATTTATTCTCTCAAAATACATATCCGTAGTAGAAGCAAGTATTTACTACATCATACTATATATATATATATATATATATATATATATATATATATATATATATATATATATATATATATATATATATGCTTAATTGTTTGTTCATGAACATATTCATAAACATTGTAGACACAGAAAATTTGAAGCCGACAAGTGGACCGATTAAATCATTATCGAGCCCAATTTCAGGGTTGATCATTAGTCCAAGTAAATTTGATTTGGGCTATTGAATTAAGTAATTAATTGGTCTAAGCCCATTTCATAATTGAATTATAATTATTGATGGTTTTATTGAGACCAGGTCCACCATAAACCGGGTACAGGAACATAGGACGGGGGTATGAAAGTACTGACTTTATTACCCGGGGCGCTAGGCCCTAAACAATACGTACAAAGCCCAAGGTACAGGCCCAGATACAAAGAACAAGGCCCACGGGGTGGGATATAACTAACTATGCTACTGAGAGGAATTGAACCCAGGTGACTGGATTGAGAGTATGAGATCAAGACCACTGGACTGTAGTGCCTGTCGTGTCCGAGTTGCCCCTTGCTAAGGATCCAGGACCCCTATTTATAGCAAACCCCCCTCCTCCTCTAGCGTCCACGTGTCCCATGCAATCCATCGCCACTTCCCCATTTATCGCTACGCAAGCGGGCACGTTCGCCATACTTCCAGGACTCCCAAGCATACCACCCCGGTCCACCATGCTCGACGCACCCGCCCAGCACCCCCTCGGGAAGGGGGGGGGGGGTTGCCGTTGACAACCTGGGGGGCGCACTGCCCCCACTGGCCGCGCCTCGGCCTGAGGTGGCCGGCGGGACCCAGCGCCGGCCAGTCGCCGGCCGGCCAACGGCCTGTCATGGCCGGTGATGGAGGCTGCCAGCCGCAAATATAGGACATATATATTTTCTGCGCCTTGGTAAACAATAGTTGTTGTGGGCTAGTGGTTAGATGCGTGCTTGTTATGTGGGAGGTCTCATGTTCGACCCTCACTAGTAACATCTCACCCTCTTTTTGTGCATGGTCCCCTCCCAGCTGCTACCTCCCACAGCCGCGCGCTGCTGGCACGACTGGTGGCGCACCACCCCCGCTGGCCACGCCTCGTCATCGGGAGTCCGGCCCCGCCGGCCCACCACCGGCGGTTTGTGCCCCGGACATCTTTCTCTCTCCTCTGTTTTGGGCCACCACGCCCCCTTGTCTCCTTAGCCCAATAGGACTTGGGCCAATCTCCTATCGTCACCACCCCCACTTGGGTCAATACAATGCCAATGAAATGGACCCCCGGGTCCATATCCCCATCACAAGTCCCCCAGTTCTTTTAGGTATCTTGATGCCTAAAGGAAGTAGAATTCGATATCACCACCTCCTTCCTTTCCCTTTCTCAACCTCTCGCCACCACCTTCCATTATCACCATTGTTGTGCGTCACGCCATTACTCCGTACCTCTGCCACACACCGCACGTTGCCCTGGCCTTCGCTTCATCACCTAGTGTCGAGAGATCAAGGTGACTCCTCTATTGTCACTTCTTGGACGCTTCTTGCACTGTACATCTCTTTTGTTGCATTTATTTAGTATGCTTTTGTCGATTTCTCCATGATGCACCTGCATGCTTCTTTTAACTATTCAATGGATGTCTTTGCTCCTTCTCCATGCTACACCTGCATGCAAACTTTTTTTTTTTTTAAATTTCGAATATTTCGGCAACCTTAATAATCTAGTGATAATCTAGTTTTTTTTTTTTTTTTTTTTTGGCATGCAATTTGCCGTCAACTGCATGCGGCTTGCCGGGGGCAAGTCCGCGCATGTGGGTTGCGATAACCCACATGCCCCATCCGCCAAAAATCATGCGGCTTGCCGAGGGCAAGTCCGCGCATGTGGGTTGCGATAACCCACACGCCCCATCCGCCAAAAACCATGCGGCTTACCAGGGGCAAGTCCGCGCATGTGGCTTGCGATAACCCACATGCCCCATCCGCCAAAACCATGCGGCTTGCCGGGGACAAGTCCGCGCACGTGGGTTGCGATAACCCACACGCCCCATCCGCCAAAAACCATGCGGCTTATCGGGGGCAAGTCCGCGCATGTGGGTTGCGATAACCCACATGCCCCATCCGCCAAAACCATGTGGCTCGCCGGGGGCAAGTCCGCGCATGTGGGTTGCGATAACCCACATGCCCCATCTGCCAAAACCATGCGGCTTGCCGGGGGCAAGTCCGCGCATGTGGGTTGCGATAACCCACACGCCCTATCCGCCAAAAACCATGCGGCTTCCCGGGGGCAAGTCCGCGCATGTGGGTTGCGATAACCCACATGCCCCATCCGCCAAAACCATGCGGCTTGCCGGGGGCAAGTCCGCGCATGTGGGTTGCGATAACCCACATGCCCCATCCGCCAAAACCATGCGGCTTGCCGGGGACAAGTCCGCGCACGTGGGTTGCGATAACCCACATGCCCCATCCGCCAAAACCATGCGGCTTGCCGGGGGCAAGTCCGCGCATGTGGGTTGCGATAACCCACACGCCCCATCCGCCAAAAACCATGCGGCTTACCGGGGTCAAGTCCGCGCATGTGGGTTGCGATAACCCGCATGCCCCATCCGCCAAAACTATGCGGCTTGCCGGGGGCAAGTCCGCGCATGTGGGTTGCGATAACTCACATGCCCCATCCGCCAAAACCATGCGGCTAACCGGGGGCAAGTCTGCGCATGTGGGTTGCGATTGTTGGGTAATTAGGTGGAAAATCCCAAAAAATAATAATAATCCTACGGAAAGATTAATATTATATGGGAAAACAGAAAATTGGGAAGGAAAAGGTTGAGTGTTTGGGTATAGGTTTAGCACGAGTTCGAACACAAGGTTCTTTTCCTTAAAACCTTATTTGCTACCTCCCACAAGTGCTAGGAGCATTGTAGCCTAGGTTTCCCAGGATAAAACGTGCTACGATTCCTTGTTTAAGCACCTAAACAAGGAACCCGGCAAACAAAGCAAAGCTGGAACACAGATTGGCTGAAAGAAGAGAGTAGAAGCAAAAGTTTTGAGATGAAAAGTTACTAGAATTCCTTTGTTTCTCACTGTGTAAAAATGCTACTGCTCTACCTCTCTTTATATAGGGATGTTGGAAGGGATAGCATTCAACATGACCTTTAATTGGTATTAAACCAATTGTATAACACCTGTAACGGTCACCACTAAGTAGGATTAAACTCAGAATTTAAAAATTGGAATTAAAACAGTATTAATTCCGTAACAGATGAGTTTAATCTGTACAACAGGCTGAACTTTCGGGTTTCAGACCGTTGGGGTGCAGGTTCACACGAGAGCACACGGACCAGGCAACACGAGAGTACATCTCTCGTGTGCACTGTGGTGCAACCCGAGAGTGCACTACTCTCGTGGTCACAGATGCACGAGAGTTGTGCTCTCGGTGCACCACAACCTCTCTTGCTCCTCTGTAACACGAGAGTAGGTGCTCTCGGTTCGGTTCTGGCCGAACCAAGTGACTATACCAGATGGAAAATGATACCGAAGTTAGGCATAACTTAGCCCGCAAGGCCAGTCCATTTCCGGACGACATTCGTGCCCGCAGGTGCCGGCGCACGCGAGCTCGGGCTTGAATCAAGCATTTTCGATGTCCTCTAGTTGGATTTTGATTTGCACCCCCCCCCCCCCTCCCCCGCGCGAGAGAGCCTCTATGCTATACAATTCTACAAGCTTGAAAAGAGCTCATGTATATAAGGGGGGCAAATCTTGTTTCCAAACCAATGTGGGACAAAGTCCTACATTTTCCCTTCATTTCCCAACTTAAATGGGTCTACTTTGAGAATCAATATCTCATTCACCCATTATCCGTTTTGAGCGTACAATATATCAATCTCTTCGTCTTACTACGAAGAATCCGAATCCACTTTGACCCGATCCAAATCGGAAGTGGACCCCACTGATAATTGTACTACAAAATAGCCACTTAATATGCCATTTTAAGCTAATTTTTCCAACAGCAATAACCCACATGCCCCATCCGCCAAAACCATGCGGCTTGCCAGGGACAAGTCCGCACACGTGGGTTGCGATAACCCACACGCCCCATCCGCCAAAAACCATGCGGCTTACCGGGGGCAAGTCCGCGCATGTGGGTTGCGATAACCCACATGCCCCATCCGCCAAAACCATGCGGCTTGCCGGGGGCAAGTCCGCACATGTGGGTTGCGATAACCCACATGCCCCATCCGCCAAAACCATGCGGCTTGCCGGGGGCAAGTCCGCGCATGTGGGTTGCGATAACCCACACGCCCCATCCGCCAAAAACCATGCGGCTTACCGGGGGCAAGTCCGCGCATGTGGGTTGCGATAACCCACATGCCCCATCCTCCAAAACCATGCGGCTTGCCGGGGGCAAGTCCGCGCATGTGGGTTGCGATAACCCACATGCTCCATCCGCCAAAACCATGCGGCTTGCCGGGGGCAAGTCTGCGCATGTGGGTTGCGATAACCCACATGCCCCATCCGCCATGGCCGTAGAGCCAGCATGCATAGCACGTAAGAGCACATAGTTGAGGTGGCCGCAGGCCAAGCATGCAGAGCACATATGAGCGTATAGTTGAGGTGGCCGTGGGCCAAGCATGCAGACCACATAGTTGAGGTGGCCGTGGGCCAAGCATGCAGAGCACATAGTTGAGGTGGCCGTGGGCCAAGCATGCAGAGCACATAGGAGCACATAGTTGAGGTGGCCGCAGGCCATGCATGCAGAGCACATATGAGCATATAGTTGAGGTGGCCGCGGGCTAAACATACAGAGCACATAGGAGCACATAGGGGCACCTAGTTCTGGAAAATAAACACAATCTTTGCAGAGCACGTAGGAGCACATAGTTCGGGAAAATAAACACAATCTTTTCCTAACTAAGTGTTCAAGTGTACTCACCAGAGTAGCGTCTCGATGTGCTAAGTGTGTTACCTTATAGGGTAGCTCCTCTTGCGAATCAACCATTTGGGCGTACCTCGGAACCTTGATAGGATGATAGAGACTATAAACACGGGCTAATCGTAGCGAGCCCCACAGACGGTGCCAAAGATGGTTTTATTGAGACCGGGTCCACCATAAACCGGGTACAGGAACATAGGACGGGGGTATGAAAGTACTGACTTTATTACCCGGGGCGCTAGGCCCTAAACAATACGTACAAAGCCCGAGGTACAGGCCCAGATACAAAGAACAAGGCCCACGGGGTGGGATATAACTAACTATGCTACTGAGAGGAATTGAACCCAGGTGACTGGATTGAGAGTATGAGATCAAGACCACTGGACTGTAGTGCCTGTCGTGTCCGAGTTGCCCCTTGCTAAGGATCCAGGACCCCTATTTATAGCAAACCCCCTCCTCCTCTAGCGTCCACGTGTCCCATGCAATCCATCGCCACTTCCCCATTTATCGCTACGCAAGCGGGCACGTTCGCCATACTTCCAGGACTCCCAAGCATACCACCCCGGTCCACCATGCTCGGCGCACCCGCCCAGTACCCCCTCGGGAAGGGGGGGGGGTGCCGTTGACAACCTGGGGGGCGCACTGCCCCCGCTGGCCGCGCCTCGGCCTGAGGTGGCCGGCGGGACCTGGCGCCGGCCGGCCAACGGCCGGTGATGGAGGCTGCCAGCTGCAAATATAGGACATATATATTTGCTGCGCCTTAAGAAACAACAGTTGTCGTGGGCTGGTGGTTAGATGCGCGCCTGTTATGTGGGAGGTCTCGTGTTCGACCCTCACTGGCAGCGTCTCACCCTCCTTTTGTGCATGGTCCCCTCCCAGCTGCTACCTCCCACAGCCGCGCTGGTGGGGCGCTGCTGGCACGACCGGTGGCGCACCCACCCCCGCTGGCCACGCCTCGTCATCGGGAGCCCGGCGGGCCACCGGCGGTTTGTGCCCCGAACATCTTTCTCTCTCCTCCGTTTTGGGCCACCACGCCCCCTTGTCTCCTTAGCCCAATAGGACTTGGGCCAATCTCCTATCGTCACCACCCCCACTTGGGTCAATACTATGCCAATGAAATGGACCCCCGGGTCCATATCCCCATCAATTATAATTTAAATATAATATTTTTTTTTTGAAATATGACGTACCAGTATATTAATTCAAGAATTGAATGATAGAGTCAGGAGGGATTAAATCCCAGTACATAGAATGATCCTGATCATGGGCTAATCTAGCAAGAGTATGTGCATGTAAATTTAAAGTTCTCGGAATAAAACTAATCGAACAATAAACAAAACTACTAATAGCTGTCCTGCACTGCTCAATCACAATTCCAACATAAGATAAGTTCGGTGTAGTTACTGCATGAACCGCATTCCTTAAAACAAGACAATCCGTAAGAATATCCACCTCGTTCTCGTTCCGGTCTTTAAGCCAAGACAAGGCTTCCTTGCATGCCAGCGCTTATGCCATAATAGGAGTTAAACACCCCGGGAGTTTTCCGTTTGCCGCTGCTTTGAACAAACCATTTGGACCGAGTAAAACCGCCCCATAAGTTGCATTTCCCGTGCCCGGATCGTATCCGGCATCGACATGGCACGTCGTCCGGCCGGCTGCCACTGTCACCACCCCGCCAGCCGGTGCCGTCACTGGCCGAGAATGCAGTGCCGTGTAGCTCGCCTCCCCCGCAGTTGCACGGTGCCACACCACCTCCGGCCTCCGTACCGCATGTTCCCAGACCGCCTCGTTTCTGGCCATCCATAAAAAATAGAGGACCCCAACAACGCGTCTGACCTGTTCGCCTGTGAGCATATCCATAACAGTCATAAGCCAGTTTGGGAAAGACGTTGAAAAAATATTCATAATAGGCAATCCCGAAATATTCCACACAGCTCTAGAATAATCACATAAAACTAATGAGTGCATAACATTCTCATTTGTAAGACCACACAACATGCATGTTGGGTTCACATCTACCCTCTTCATGATCAAATTTGTTGTGGTTGGGAGTATATCACACACCGCTCTCCATAAAAAAGTTTTCCACTTGGGGGGGACTTTCAACTTCCACAATGTAATCCATCTATCAAATTCTCCCAAACTGTGATTAAATTCTCCCATTAGACGCCTATAAGCATCCTTTACTATGTAGCAACCATTCACATCATTATGCCAATACCATGTGTCTTTATAGTCTGGGCTCACAGGTATTTTCAAAATACGATCCACATCCTCAGGTTCAAATAAATCTGTTAAAATATGGGGGTCCCATGTTTTCGTCTGCTGATCTATCAAGCCTGCAACAACTGCATCCCTTAATGGTTCAGGCATTACTGTTTGTACCATAGGACTAGGATTATCCTGCAACCACGGATGACCCCATATCAAAGTTTCCTGGCCATTTCCAATTCTCCTGCGGACATGGGCAATAACAAAATCATGAGCAGCCATAATACTTCGCCAACAAAAACTGGGATTATTTCCTACCACTGCATCAACAAAAGAAGTTTTAGGGAAATATCTTGCTTTATATATTCGTGCTGCCAGTGATCCTGGATTTGTTAAGAAACGCCATGCCTGTTTACCCAACATTGCCAGATTAAAATTCCTCAGATCTTTAAACCCCAATCCACCAAACTTCTTAGGGATACACAATTTATCCCATGCTTTCCAGTGGATTCCTCTGTCTGGCCCTTTCCCCCACCAATATCTATTCATGGCCCTTTGTATCGACTCGCAAACTGATTCAGGGAGCAAAAAAACACTCATTGAAAATGTGGGCATAGACTGAGCCACACTTTTCAAAAGTACCTCTTTACCAGCCTGTGATAACAATTTCTTGTTCCACGAGAAAACTCTTTGTCTGATTTTATCTTCTATATAAGAGAAAACAGCCCTTTTATTTCTCCCTATAAAAGAGGGTAGCCCCAGATATTTTCCAAAGTTTCTTGCCCGTTCCACGCCCAGGCATTCTACCACTTCCTCTCTCATCTGTTCCCCAGTATTCTTACTATACCATATATTGGATTTATGATAGTTGACCAACTGACCAGGTAACTCCCCATACCTTTCCAAACACTACTTAACCACCGTAGCTTCCTGGACATTTGCTTTAAAGAACAACAAACTATCATCCGCAAAAAATAGGTGTGATATTGGGGGGGCTCCCCTAGCCACTCTACAACCATGAATAGACCCTACTGCCTGCTCTTTCTGCAAAAGCATGGATAAGCCTTCAGCACAAATAATAAATAAGAAAGGTGAAAGTGGATCCCCCTGTCTGAGACCCCTTGTTGGCTGCACCTGGCCTCCACTCACGCCATTGACCATCACACTGTATGATACAGTGGTAACACATGTCATTATCAGCTTAATCCACCTTTCATCAAAACCCATTACTTCCAGCATCTTTTCTAAGAATGGCCACTCCATTCTATCATAGGCTTTCGCCATATCCAGTTTTAGCGCTCCCCACCCAGCCATTCCACACTGTTTACGATTCAAAAAGTGGCCCACCTCTGCTGCCACAAGTATATTATCCGTTATAAGCCTACCTGGGATGAAGGCACTCTGAGATTCTGAAATCAGGTCCCCCAGCATAGGTTTCAACCTGTTGGCAATCATTTTTGCCATAATCCTGTACAGTACATTACTCAGGGCAATAGGCCTTAAATCCGCCACAGTTGTAGAATTACTCTTTTTCGGGATCAAAACAATATTGGTTTCATTCAAATCTCTGGGGATTTCACCTGAATTCAAGCAATTAACAGCAAAAGTAGACACATCCTCTCCAACTATATCCCAAAACCGCTGATAAAATCCGGGATTCATCCCATCCGGTCCCGGTGCCTTGTCAGGATACATGGCAAATAAAGCAGTTTTAACCTCGGCCACATCATAGGGACACAACAATGCGTCATTTTGGTCAGTTGTCACACGGGGCCCAAACTCATCAAATAAAGGGTCCTCACACACAGGACTACTAGTAGCAAAAATTGTATTGAAATAGTTGATTACTACATTATTCATATCCTGTCCCTCCACCCATACCCCATTTTCATCCAACAACTTAGAAACAGAATTCTTTTTCTTTCTAGCAGAAGCATACCTGTGATAATATTTCGTATTCGCATCTGCGCCACGAAGCCAATGCTGCTTCGCTCTCTGCCTCCAAAAGACATCTTCCTGGGCTTCTAACTGGGAGATCTGGTTATTCAACAGTTGGAACTGAGCCAAAGATGCCGGATCCCTCCTACCACGGATCCGCCCCTGCTCCCTGCGGAGTCGCCGGATATGTTCTCCGAACTTATGAAAGTGGTCACCGCCCCAGCGCATCAGTCTATCCCCACATCGTTGCTGACAATTCAACAACCCCTCTGTCCTCCCCCTTGCCAGGCATTTTCCACCACATCCCTACACCCCTCATCCAGCAGCCATGCCATCTCAAACCTGAACCTCCTCGGAACCCTTCCTCCTCCCCTTTTTCGTGCATTCATATCAAGAAACAGAGCTGAATGATCCGAGTTATTAGTAATTATGTTCTCCACACCCGCCCCATCATGCACATCACACCAGTCCATCGTTGCCAATACCTTGTCCAGTCTCTCCTCCAGCCATTTATCCGTCCCACTATACTTTTCCCATGTGAACTGATACCCCCTCATAGGTAACTGGCGCAACCCACACTCATCCACAGCTTCACTGAAACCCCGGAGAAAACTATCTGGATGCGGATTGGTTCCCCTTTTCTCATGCTGGAATAAGAGATCATTAAAATCTCCTATTACAACCCACGGAAGCGGAGACTTCCCCGCCAAAGATTTAAGCAACTCCCATGATTCTCGCCTTTGACTACTCTTAGGAAAGCCATAGAAACACGTCATACGCCATGTCTCTCCCAATGACATTCGGACCTCAATATCCACATAGTTTTTCGAATAGCCCAAAAGTGTAGCTGTATTATTCCTCCTCCATAACAAGGCCAGTCCCCCACCATTCCTCACACCATCCACATAGAACAAACCTTCAAAACCTATTTTCACACGCAATCTCTCCGCATGGTCTCGCTTTACCATTGTTTCCATTAGAAATACAAAGTCAGGCTTCTTATCAGACACAAGGTCCACAATCTCTCGAACTGTACGTGGATTGCCCAAGCCACGACAGTTCCAGCTTATCGTACTCATGATGATGGGTGGGGCTGGACACCAGCTCCCGCCATGGACAAGTTTTTTGAAACCTCAGTGATTGGTACCTCACCGTTCCCCCCATCCTCTCCAGTCTCTATCCCATTCCTACGACGCTTTGCCGTAGCCACCACCACCTCATCCTCAGACATGCTCGTGGGTGTAACACCCCCACTTCCCTGGCCCCCATCTACCACACGCAGTTTGCATCCCAGTGGTCGTGGTTTCCCGCCAACCGGAACAAGCCAGCTATCCCCAACCGCTCTAGGAGCGCTCCGGGATCCACCAGCTCGCATATCCGAGCCGTACAGGTACCTTTCGACCGGAATTCCAGCCTCCCTAGCGTGTATACAGAAAGTATGCAAGTGACCCATATAACCACAAAAATAGCAAAACTTATGCAGCCGTTCATATCTAAAATTTACCCATGCTGTAGTCCCATCTCTCTTCATCAACCTCATCCTTCTTCTAAGCGATCTATCAACCGAGATTGACACCCGAATACGGTGAAACGTTAGCCATGGCGCCCCTTCAAATCGGTCATCATGTTTAACAAAAGAGCCCAAAAAATTCCATGCCTGTTCCAGAATTGCATGCGACGTGTATCCCTTTGGCAAATCATGCAACTGTACCCACATGTCAATCATATCCAGCTCTACATCCACAGGATTCACCCCATCTAACACCTCCCGACACACCAGAGCATTATTCTCAAAGGCCCAGGGTCCCCCATTCAGCACATATTCCATATCAGTCTTATGGAAAAAAACAAACAAGAACAAACCCCTTTGAATCTCCGTTACCTGTACTCCACGTACCGGTTGCCAAACAGATGCCAGAACCTGCCTCATAAAGTCCAGCTTTATCATTTTTTGCGTCAAAAACCGCCCGACAATCCTCCAAGTCTCTTCCTCCTCCCCATCACCTTCTTCCACCGCCTCTCTATCTTTCGGCATAAAAACCGCCCCCTCCTCCTCCATCAAAGCCATCTCCGCCCACCTATCCGTTAACTCCGCCACACCCACCCCCCCCCTCGGCCGGCCTGGTACCGACCCTTCTCCCCCACCCTGCCCCCTCCCGTTACCAACCCTCACCCTCAACCCGCCTACCCCCTCCGGCCTCCCTAATTGCCTTGGAAACCCACTGTCCTCACCACGCCTAACTTCCCCATCCCTATGCATGCCCTCATACAAACCAGTATGGTTTTCTCCCTCCACCCCCCTCACAATTCGGCACTGACCTGCCACTGCCTTCTCACCACATCCACGTCCCACTCCTTCATGCATCACGCGTGGCCCATGCATCATTCCCCCCTCATGCAATCCAGCAAACACATCTCCCTCCACTCCCCTTAAATTCCGGCGTTCGTCTGCCCCAACTCCCTCACCGCTTCCTCGTCCAATCCCCTCCTCTCCCACCGTTTGGCGCTGACTCCCCATCGTAGCTTGATCAATTTCCATTGCTTCCGCACCGGTAATCAACCGGATAAAATCGAAGATCACCGATGAAAACCTAGGCGAAACCCTAGTAGGAACGCAAAAACCCTAGAGAGAATTTCCTAGAGAGAGAATTTTAAGTCTCAGTACACATCCTCTTATTTAAATATAATATGATTTTATTATATTTGAATTAGATAATTATAATTTAATTTGAATTTGAATTAGATGATAGAATAATGAACCTAGACTTGATTTTGGCAAGGTTCATTTTAGTAGATAATTAATTAATTTAATTTAATAAAAATTAGTGGAGTTTGTTGAGGGATTTTAGTTACAAACTTCACTATAAATAGAGCCTCAATTCCATTCTTCAAATCACACCTTAAATACATTGAGAACAATTTGAAGACTTGAGAGCTTGAAGGCATTGCAGAACGCTTAACAACTTGAAGGCTTGAAGATTTGAGAGCTCTTTTGAAGGCATTTGAAGATCTTGAAGAATTAAAGGCATTGGAGGCATTTTTTGCAGGTTTTAAAGATCTTGAAGCAACTTGAAGCCTTTTTGTAGGTACTTTGAAGATCTTGGAGCCTTTTGAAGGCAACTTGAAGCCATTGCAGGCGCTTTAATTAATGTTTTGCAGAGTTAATTGCTTCGGAGCTTGATGTTTGCTGTTGAAGATCACGCCAATTGAATCCCGGAAGCTACACCGTTTAAATCCCGGAGGCACGCGCCACTTGAATCTCGGATGCTACACTATTTGAATCCCGGAGGCACTGCAATAGATAACGGCATTGAAGAACGCTTGAAGACTTGAAGGCATTTTTGTTGATTTTGCAGGCAATTTGAATCCATTGCAAGGTCGATTATTTCTAAATTCTTGACGTTCGTTGTTGAAAGTCACGCCAATTGAATCCCGGAAGCTACGCCACTTAAATCCCGGAGGCACGCGCCAATTGAATCCCGGAGGCTACGCTATTTGAATCCTGGAGGCACTTCAATAGATAACGTCAGTGAAGAATCAGAGGACTAGACAGAGATTTTGTACCTGCACTTGAATTATACACACGCTGTACACGGAATTTTGTGAATATATACAAAGTTTACATTTTTGTGTTTACAAACATAATTAAATGAACACAAACGAAGTAGTT